TTTGGATTTAAATAGACCACAGTGCTGATGTTTTCCAGAGCAGACTGACACTATTTGACTGTTTACAATTATAAGCTTCCTGCAGTTTGCTAAAAGCTTGGTTTCAGAAAGCACTGGTTTCTGTTCGTGCCCTCAAATGTCTCCTCACACCACGGTGAAGAGTTCCTGCATTTCTGTTTATAAAGTGAATCCTAAACAGAGTTTTTATGAACCTGTTGACCCACAAAACAAGAGACCCCATTGGCTCTATTTAAAAAAAAAATAGAGAACAGGCCTGTAAAGTATTTCTAAAAAACTCATACAGTAGTTTTCTTCACCCTGCTGCTCTCCTGCCTCGTCGTCATACAGGAGAGAAATTCTGACCCAAACAAAAACTGTTCAGACTTATAAAGTCACGTATAAACGTAGCTGTCGGCACTCAGGTAAAATCTCTGAAAAGCACACATAATCTTAAGAAATAGTTTCTCACAGATGTCCTTCAATAAAACCCGGTGGGGTTTGTTCTTGTTTGTCTCCTGCTTTTATTGAAAGTTTTATGAAAATTCCTGGCAGCACCCCCCCCCCCCCCCCCCCCCCCAAGACTTTTATGAAAGTCACTGTAGAAGTGTGTTCTGGAGAAGCTTCTAACCTTGCATAACGATAATACCATAATGTGGCTACATTCATGGCTGTATTTGTAGTTTGTTAAAGAAGATGACACTTAACCATTTTAGCTTTGCCGCAGAAGATAAAATGTCCCATACAGGCTGATTGTTTTTGATCATACCAAAAAAATAACAAGTAAAATCTTTTTTATGTCAGAACCAATTTACTTCAAATATTTCCTCCTGTCCTAATGTGATTAGGCTCTTTTCATTTTTACAATTTCCTTTAATTCTCTTCTAATTTACAACTTCAAGAACAACATTGAAATATGGTGACGAAATCCTGACTTATGGTACTTACTGTTTTAAGTGTTTGCTTTAGTTTTTCTTACAAACTCAGAAGGGTGTGATGTCTCATACTTGCTGCCTTTTTACTACAAGCTGTCACATGTCGCATAGCAAGGTCAAATGAATTTATATTTCTGGTGAGGAATTTGACATCAACAGCTTGAAGTTATGAACTTAAATATCTTAGGCTGGTGCAGGTATAAATGTAAATAACTTGTGGGTCACATAATGATCCTTTACTTTCCTCTAAAGGCCAGGTCTGGCATGAATAAGTCACAAATGGTGTCTGAAATAGCTTATACTGTATTAACATAAAGAATGAACAAACAGCAGTGTTTTGCCATTAAAAACACAGATGAGCCTCTTAGACACTGTTTAGCTTTAAATACTTTTCTGACCAATTTCATGGACAAAACATGCCTTAAAGCACTGCATTAAATTGATAATCTAGCATCCTGACTAATCAGTGGTTGGAAGTGTGTGCGACATTAAAAAAAAACAACCCTCCACAAATAGACAACACATCTATTTTGTGCCTCTCCTCACTCAACTCAGTACTTTGATTTGTACAATTTTCACAAACTGGACAGGTTTATGGTTTTAATTCAGTGAAAGAGGCTTTCATATGACATCCAACCCTGGAATGGTCAGATTTTCTGCAAAAAAAGAGGAAACTTTCTGGTGAGAATCACAAAAACAAGGAAATTCAGTGAAACTCAAGTAAACATTAACCACCCAGACAAAGGTAACTGATGGAAAGATAAGACAGAAAGGAACGATAATGTTTACAAAGTTTGCACATCCACAAAGTTGGATGTCTTAAGAAAACAAAGAAAGGGAAGATTGCGGATGCTGCTTCCTTGTGGGAAGGAAATAGACTAGTCACATACCACACAAAGGTTTATTAACTTCACGGTATGAGCAAAATCTCTACTAATCTGCAGGGCTCAAGCTTGAAATGAGTTCTGTCGTAACAGGAACACGGACAATGCAGTGGGTCTGGGTTCAACTTGGACCCATTTCAACAGACAGAGTTACTCAGATATTTGGTATTTGAGCCAAAGTTGTAGCATCAACAACCGGTCAGTAATAAGAGTTTCTATTGAGCAACAAAACAGACCAAATATGCCTCTTATTTAAATAATATTTAAAAGTACACAATAACAATAACATATGTTTAAAACCAAAATGTTTAAACAAGAATTCACCTAGATGCTTGACAAGTGCCTGGAATGAGATATTTTTTGGTCCATCCGGTTTGACCTGTGACTTTCATTCAGTTATTCTTTTTTTAGATTTATAAGTCTTTGAACACACCATCACAACACACAATTTGTACTTGCAGTAGCATCCTTGGTGTGCATTTTATTACTGCATGAGGAAGATTTATTCATATTTCCAAGTTGTTTTAAAACACAGAGTTTTTGTCCAATAGTTTGGCTTTACTTCTATTGTCTGTTTGGGATTTTATAGGCGTGAGAGTTTTTACCTAAATTAAACTTATCACACTGTCAGTAAGGTGACACTGCTGTAAACCCTGTGCTTTCACTCATTGCAGCTTTTAGACAAATGAATGTGTGCTTTGCCCATTTGTTATAAAGATGATTTATACTGGTCTCTTCATTAACACAACCTCTGCTTTGTGTCCTTTTTGCAGCAAATAACTTTCCCGTTGATACTGAGCGTTGGTGCAGCTGTGATTGGATCCCTGCAGTTCGGATACAACACAGGTGTCATCAATGCCCCACAAAAGGTGAGTCAGACACTCGATTTTTGATGTTCATCTTTTACCTTCAGGAGAACTGGTTCAATTTTAGAAGACTGAAACAAACCAGAACATCCTAAATAACCATTAATCACCGACAACCAATAGAAACGAGCTCTGCACTAAGACAATCTTTAAAAGTTTTAAGACTTGTTAAAGAGGGAATAGCTCTGGTTGTTCACTGTTGCTTGACTGGAGATCTGGACAGACATGAAAAGGTTTGGGTTAGGAAAGGAGATAAAAATAGTTCTTTCTGTCCTCGTACATCCAAGGACATTTGTTGCAACAGCAAAAGAAAGCATCTACGCCCAAAAATGGTTATCTCCTGTGTGCTGGGGAATGGCAGTAAGATTTGGTATAAAAAAAATAAATAAATAAAAAGATTTGTAAGAGGAAGATAGTCATCTATCCTCTTAACAAATGAAGTGTCACAGTTTGTAGAGATTGCGCCCAGCAATGCAGACAAATATGAAGAACTCGAAGAAAAAAATCCGCCCCTGAGATTTATTTATTAATAAATCCTGCCATGGAAGCAACAAGAAGACAAAATAACAAAGCTCGAGGGGACACCAAGGAGAACCAGACATGGCATAAATCATAAACAATCCCAGACTGCAGGTATGGTGAAGACTGGGAGACCAATGGGAGAGTGGAAACACCTGGGCAGAATGACAGGTGTAAGTGAGTAAAGCAGAACAGGGATTAAAGGCTGGCTATGGAAAAGTACTGAGAATAGCTGGAAACAAAGTGAGGCAATGAAGCAAACTGAACACACAAAAAACACAGAAACTAAACAATGTTACGAAATAAACATGCAATTAAACCCCAAACAGAAAAATAAACACTGAAACAAACAAATCATGATGAGAAGATCATCAAAATAATAGTTTTATGTCCCGAGAGGAATGTCTACTGTCTGCTTTAGGTTTTTTTACTAGACAAATACAGGGATCAAAAACTAATTTCCTGAGAAATTTCTATATTTTATTATATTTTTATTAACTCCACGTTGGTCCAAACACACCTTACAGCTACACAGATATGCATCTCAACATCTCTTACTGTTGGCAGACATTTCAAACTTTTTTTAACCCCTTTTAACATCTGCAGACCTTTGTGTGCTGAACACCGTTACAGTGATGTTCACACCTGTTTGTTGTGTAAACAATCTATACCTAATATAAAGCGCTTACCCTCACCAAACTGCTAAAACTATTCTGGACTTTGAATTAAAGCAACTTTCAGCATCTGCTTGTAAAAAATCAAGACTTACAAGGTTGACCACTGTCATGTTTGAATCTAAGCCTGATTTTTAAACAGCTTTTTAAAACAGGAATTTTCTGAAAGTTCTTACAAATAAGATCTGTCAGCTAGAATGGTCATTTTCAAAGCTTTGTGAGGCTGAAAAGATGTGTAATCACGCCAGAACTCCCTCAGGTTTACAGCCATGTGTTTGATCCTGATTCTGATGATTCAGCATTAAATAAAATGACAGACTGCTCCTACATTTTATCATTGTCTATTTAAATTTATGAATAAAAAAAAAGTTCAAAAATAATCTGATTTCTTAGTTTAACCTGGCATATTGTTTTATTTTTCAACATATACCCAAGTAAAAAAAATGTTTGTAAAACTTTGTTTTGATATCTAGGCTTGAGTTCACCAGACTGTCAGAATGGAGCTTTACCGATCATCTAAGGAGCACAGCTCTACATCTGTGACCTACACACTTCACTTTACGTACAATGAGATGTATGTATAGCATACAAAGATAGTTTTTTCTTAAGAGTAATACAGTTGCATACACTACATATTTTCTGCTCAATGGGCTGCACAAGCTTGTCTTTAAACTTAGACGTTGAGTTCTTTCTAAGGTTGTGAACTCTGGAGTTTTTTTTAAATAGATGTTATGTCTTAGTGGACTAGTGTAAACCTGCCTTCTTGACTTGTGTTCAACTCAGGTCTGAGCAATGCTACATGTTCTTGCAAAATAATAGTTTTCCAGCAATCTGAAGGTGTTAATACAAAATGCCCATTCAGCTTTAATTAAACAACCAAACTAGTGTAGCAACTGCAGTTAGATTATCACCCAAATGTTTTTCCTTCCTGTGTTTGTGATAAAGGCAGCAGTGATGCTCCTGCTGCTGCTGGTGGTATGGGCCTTGTACTGCGTCTCTGATTAGATACACTCCTCCAATGGCCTTGTTCTGACCTTCCTGTCTTGTTCTTCTCCCATTGCATCTACGTCTGATCTGCTTCTCAAAATATGCTTAAGGCTCTCATCTGATATCTGTGAAGAGTATTGTCTTCAGTGCAACTGTTCAATGTGGCTCCAAAGATTATTTCACTTGTAACATTTTAAGAGCTTCTGGGGGATTTGGTAGCTCGGTGGTCAGTGCCACAGTCTCGTAATCCTGAAGCTTCAGTTTTGAGCCCAGGTTGCGTCAGGAAGGGCGTCCAGCTTAAAAAAAAAACCAACAAAAAATGATTGCCATTTTTTTTGTTGTGCAAGTTCATTTGCTGTGTGGACCCTTGCAGAATGAACAATGGCAGCATTTAAAAAATATATTTGCACCTGAACACCACTCACCTTCAAAAAATGATCACCTGCCAGCTCCATCAAGCAGCTGGGAGCATGAGTCAGCAACTTTTTTCATGATTTCAGAGTGGCGCTGTCTGTGTAGAGAGAACACTGAACAACTGTGCTACTTATCAGGGTCTATGCAGGGCTTTATCTTCAAATCAGAGTCAGTAAAACCATGCATTGTCTACATATTCCTATTATATCAAATTTAAAATAACAATGTAAAAAAATAAGGGAATACCAAGTAAGTACTCTTTTGTCAAACTTTTCAGCACTGAACAGCGATGTAGCAAATTATAAAACTTAAACTACCTACATATTAAACCGCTGCATGTTAGGTGATTGTGGGTCCCAGATAAGCACAAAATACTTTAACTAAAATAATAAATATCAGCCAAATGTACTATATATGAGTAAACACCTAAAGTTTTATTTAGGAGAAACTCCTAACTACAGCAAAAAGTCCTCAGCTGACCCTAATGTCTCATGTTGTTTGTTTACATCTAAGTCAGAACCTCTAAATAAAGCCTGCTTTAAAGGGTAAATGCTACAGGATGAAGGTCACGGGTACGGTGTAGTGTACGATAGCATACTTGTGATATCACCAAGTGAGGTCTTGTGAGTGTAAGCTGATAGTGAATGTGATCCAGGCTCTGTGGTCACAGTGTCAGAGTATTACTCCACATGTTCCCCTCCACCAAAGGAAAGCCCTTGACAAGTAATAGGCACACTATTTAACTTCTTCATCTGGACATAGCTGAGGTTTTAATACTCCTTCTTTCACTGAGCTCCAGTACATAACTATCTCTGGTATGAGGTTCAGTGCCAGGAGTTATAAAACACCGAGTCACGTGACCAAACTGTTGCACACATGAGGGTTGAGGTCCTGTGAGGTAGCAGACTGCGTCACAAACTGTCTGTCTCATGAGAGGTGTGACTGTGACGAACGCCTAAACGGACGTAGGCGTTTGCTGCATATGGGCGTGTTTGCCAACACTGATAGAGGTGGGGGGAGGGGTGGAAACTTGACAGTTACGGTGACTGGTAAACTTCCTGGTTTATTCAGGAAGTAGCGGTGAGCTTAGAGGCAGTGCTGCCTTTGGCTCTGCCAACCTAGTGTGGAAAAGAGATAAATAAAAACATAAAGCATACAATCAGATTCTGAAGTCCCTCTGATGATCATATCTCAGCTATAAGGATGACTTTTTGTTTCAGTTTGTGGCTCTAACATTGTAATCTATCGTCCATTGGTCATCATTTATGTGCACTTGTACAATAAAACCAAACGTGTCTGGTTCTTTGGGCAGACTATTGAGAAATTCATCAATGAGACATGGCAAGAGCGTTACATGGAGTCCATCACCAAAGAATCACTCAGAGTCATCTGGTCCATCTCTGTCTCCATCTTCCCTGTGGGCGGCATCTTTGGCTCGTTCTCTGTTGGACTCTTTGTCAACCGCCTGGGAAGGTGAAATAATAAACAAAATCTATTTTTGAATAATACAAAAAATAGCCCAGTGGTCCAGTTTTGATCTTTAAATAAAAGTTGTAAATGTAAGCTTATGCTTTTTTCTAACGTCTTCAGGAAGTACTCGATGCTCGCAGTCAACATCCTGGCCTTCATCGCAGCTGCTTTGATGGGGTTTTCAAAGATGGCCAGTTCCTGGGAAATGTTAATCATTGGTCGTTTTGTGATTGGCTTTTACTCTGGGCTGTCCACGGGTTTTGTACCCTTGTATGTGGGTGAGGTCTCTCCAACATCCCTGCGAGGTGCCCTGGGAACACTGCACCAGCTGGGCATCGTTGTTGGTATCCTCATCGCACAGGTTTGTGATCACAACATGTACTGGTCTCTGCATAAACACAGGGATTCTCCTGTGCAGCTGCTTCATCATGTCTGCTTATTTTATAGGTGTTTGGATTGGAGGTGATCATGGGAAACGACAGTCTGTGGCCGCTTCTCTTGGGCTTCACCTTCATCCCTGCTGTAATACAGTGTGTCCTGCTGCCACTTTGCCCAGAGAGTCCCCGTTTCCTGCTTATCAACAGGAACGAGGAGAATAAGGCCAAAACAAGTAGGTTAAGAAAAGTTACTGGGCTTTAATTTGTTATTAAATATAATTTTTCTGTGTTTGCAGCAAAGTCACATTTCATGATTTAAACAAGAACAAAAAAAATAAGATCAAGTGTTTCATCATCATCATGATCCACTTTCTGATGTGTTTTAGTTCTGAAGAAGCTCCGAGGAACCACAGATGTCAGCGCTGACATGCAGGAGATGAAGGAGGAGAGCCGGCAGATGATGAGGGAGAAAAAAGTGACCATTCTGGAGCTTTTCCGTTCGCCGCTGTACCGCCAACCCCTCCTCATCGCTGTCATGCTGCAGCTCTCCCAGCAGCTGTCTGGAATCAACGCTGTGAGTGGATAATAAACCATTAATATTTAATGAAACCATTAAAAGAGCAACTTGTATACATTTATTTTGATTGGAATTACACCAGACATAATAGAAGACATCTTGAACGTGCAGATTTGTGAGTTGTGTTTTTGTTTTGCTGTTCAGGTGTTTTACTACTCCACACGTATCTTTGAGAAAGCCGGAGTGGAGCAGCCGGTCTACGCCACTATTGGAACAGGCGTTGTAAACACAGCGTTTACTGTTGTTTCTGTAAGTACAGCACTACAGATCACTAATCTTTATTGTAAAGATAAGAAAAGTGTAAAAACAAAATAAAAAGCACCACAAAATAAAACAATTTTAATCTTTAGAGCCCAAAAGGTAAATGTAAAGTAGCTAATTATGCATTTGTTTATTTTATTCACTGTACTGCACTCAAAAATACTTCAGGTATAATTTTTACTCTCACTATTCTACTTGCATAAATCATTTACCTGAAAGAGCCATATTGTTGCATGAAAGTCATGTCTGTGTTTTTGGTAAATATTAATTTGTTAAGATATTTATGATACCAGACATGTTATCAAAGCTGTAATTATGGATAACTCGGTTTTCTTATCTTCTGTCTTCAGCTGTTTGTCATAGAGCGTGCAGGACGCAGGTCTTTGCACCTCCTCGGGCTGCTGGGAATGGCTGGCTCTGCCATTCTCCTGACCATTGCTTTAGCTCTGTTGGTAGGTATAAAAAAAAATATGAGTTACATGTTGGACTCATATGCTAGATCCATTCTCCCATCTTTGTTGTCTTGTCTCTCCATAGGAGCAACTGAAATGGATGTCCTACCTGAGCATTGTGGCCATTTTTTCCTTCGTTGCGTTCTTTGAGATCGGACCGGGTCCCATCCCCTGGTTCATTGTGGCGGAGCTGTTCTCTCAGGGTCCCAGGCCTTCTGCCATTGCTGTGGCTGGTTTCTCTAACTGGACTGCCACCTTTTTAGTGGGAATGAGCTTCCAGTATGTCGAGGTGAGTGGTGTACAATTTGAACCACGTCTGAAGAAGAGTCTGAGAAACTTTTTGATTATTATTTATTTACAAAAAAAGGGACAAAGGACATTAATAAATATATATTCTGGAAATCTAGATTTAATCACCTAACATGAGCTCTCAAGAGCTCGCAAATAAAACTAATGTATAAAAAGTAAATAAAAAGATGTAGAATGTTTCCTCATAATCAAATCATCTGAATAGTTTTTAAATTAACATTCATATTAAATAACTTCTAAAGCTCAAGCATAAGAGTATAAACAGTTCATTAATATTAAGTTTGAGTAAAAAAATGAAAAAAGTCAGAGCATGAGATCACATTTAGTTGTGCACAAGCTCATTTTCCTGATGGTTTTGCCCCATTGTGTTTTCTCAGGAGCTGTGTGGTTCCTATGTGTTCGTCATCTTCATCGTGATGCTGCTCATATTCTTCCTCTTCACCTACTTCAAAGTGCCAGAGACCAAGGGCCGGACATTTGATGATATCGCTTCCGGCTTCCGCCAGGCGGCCGTGATGGGAGGAGAGAAACACTCACCGGAGGAGCTCAACAGCCTGGGGGCCGATTCTCAGCTCTGAGAAGCTGTTAGTAATTTTTTTTTTTGACAAACTCTTGCAGGCTGAGGGCGACCCGGACAGGTGCGCTCCATAGAATCCGACGGATTCACTGTAGAACAATTTTCACCCTGTCGCCACATTTCAGGCGTTTTCGTCAACGTGACAACTTCTGCTGCTTCTCTCTTTAATGTGCACAGAAGAACTCAAACGAGGTGAAAATAGTCGGGGAAGGTTTTCAATATTTAAAGATATTTTCTAAGAAGGTGTAGCTGCGTCTGTAACAACCCAACAGCTTTTTTTATTGCCTCTAGTTTACTCATAGATGCTCTGTTCTTTTGTTCTGTTACTGTAGAGTGAGTTAGTTACCTGCTTAAAGATGCTGCAGCTGTCCTAATTCGTTCACTGGGCAAAAGCATCTGATTTTTTTACTGACCAAACTGTAATAATCAGTTTAGACTCTAGCACTGTTGATGTTCTTCGGTCTGTCCACCTGATGGCGCTCTTCCTTAAGAAAAGGTGGTCACACTCCCATTAGAAATGTTACTGAGAAACTGTGTGGAGAAGAAATGAATGTTCTCAGTGAAATGTTCCGCATGAACAGAGCGTTACTTATTTTACTCCTTTTGCTTTACTTGTGTTTGATATTTAATGACTTTCCTTAGCTGAAATGTCCTTTATGATATAATATATATTTGGTAACCCTATCAAAATAGTAAATAGAGAAGCTAATTTTTGATTCTTGGATTTTTACACAATTGTTGTTTTTATTTTGAACTTGTTGACCCGGTGTCTGCCTATCAGTGCCTACGGTTACAAACATGGCAGTGAAATGTAATTTATAAATCATCCATTTATTGAATCGTGACACGTGTACTCACTCACAATCAGCTGCCATAAAACCAAAAATCAAACTCAGAAAGTGAAAGTGAAGTTGCACGTTTAGGAGTCCACCTCAGCCTTTGGCTCTCATCACTGGGGGTTTCAGGTCAGACCAGCCTGATCCACGAGCTGGAAGATCCATCTCTTTAAGTATTTCAGTGCTGAGACTTCCTGTGGAGACTTTAAAGCCTGCTGCGGCGGCTTGAGAGCTGCCTGGATCTTTCCTTTCAGCTACGAGCTGCACGCTGCTCCTCTGAGACAAACACGAAGAGGACAGAGAGATAATGCGGACCAAAATGAATGAAGTCCTTGTCATCTTTAGAGTGGTTGCTGCCAGCCGTGGTTCAAGCTTTTACTCAAACAGTGGTGTGAGCGTTGTTTTGAGGTTTCTCTCTCCTAGTTCTATGTTCTGTACAGATGTGGAGGGGAGACAAAACACTGCCTCGATGCACAAGTTGCCGTCTGTTGCTGCTGTATCTCTTGTCACCTGTGCCTTCTTTTTAAAGTACATTGAGGAAAGGGTGGCACGGTGGCTCAGTTGAAGAGCTGTTGCCTCTCAGTGAGAGTATCAAATCCCGGCCGGGGGCTTTTCTGGGTGAAGTTTGCATGTTCTCTCCGTGCTTGCGTGGGTTTCCTCCCACATACCAAAAACATGCATGTTAGTCTGATTGGTAACTCTAAATTGTCCCTAGCTGTGAGTGAGAGATGTGTCCCTGTGATGGACTGGAGACCTGTCCAACCCCGCCTCTCACACAGTAGCTGCTGGATATGAGCACCAGTGACCCCCTTGACTCGAAAAGGAAGAAGCGGGTAAAGATGATGGATGTTTGAGGACATTTACCTTTTTAGCAGCACTTTATTATTCCCAGAGAGACGCTGAGGTTGAATACATTGTTTTTTTACTCACAGTGTGGAAACTTTGTCACTACACAGAGACTGAAGTACTGCTGATGGAATACTGAATGTTTTTTTTAAAGACAGATAAGTCTGGATTGTGCTTTTGTCCCTATATGTTATAGTCTACACACACTGCGCACACTCACAGTAACTATTGTAATATTCTGAGTTGGATAAAAACATACATTTATTCTACCCGTAGTGAGCCTTTGTAATCATTCCAGGGTTGCCTTTCCGTTATTGTATATAATAGATCTCTTAAAGTGCAGGATTTGTTGTTTGCAAACTTTCATTTATCATCACCAGCAAAAATTACACAATAGCCACAAAATATACACTTCCCATCACAGACTGATCTGATTTATATCCTAAACTGTATTTATGTACATGCTGGTGAAGATTGTCAGTCATCCAGGACATGATGAATTCAGAAAGTGTTCAATACAAAAACAACTGGACTTTATTTGTAACAGAAGACTTTTCGCTCTTCATCCGAGGAGCTTTCTCAATTCAATGAGCAGTGAGTGAGAGATTCAGGTTGTAAGGCAAGACACACATATGTAGATTTGACAAGTCACACCTCATGGAGGAGTGACTTGTCAAATCTACATATGTGTGTGTGTCTTATCTCACTCAGCCTTATAACCTGAATCTCTCACTGCTCATTTAATTGAGAAAGCTCCTCAGATGAGGAGCGAAAAGTCTTCTGTTACAAATAAAGTCCAGTTGTTTTTGTATTGAACACTTTTTGAATTTATTTATGTACATGTTTTCACAAAGCGGTTTTTATCTAACCTGCCACGTCTCCAGCACAGCTGTTTTAATACACCAGATAATGGAACATAAAACCCACCTAAAGTCAAATAAGTCATTACCTTTAACTTGTTGTTTTTTATTAAGTTATTACTATTGTAGAGCGGTCATTCAGAGTTGTTCTGTTTCTTTCTGATTTAATGCCTGTTTAGTGTGGCTTTACAATACTGTAAAAGATTTTGACATGATTCTACATGTAAAGATTTAGTTTTATTTTAGTGCACAAATCATATTTTATTACTTGTTATAAAAAAAAAGGTTTGTGTTTGCTGTTGGAGTGTAACTGACTGAGGTGGTCCAACTTGTAAATGGTTTTATTGGCTAAATAAAAAGAATCACACCAACAGATCGTTGTGTTTTGTGTTTGTTGGGGAGTTTTGGTTGTATTACTTCATAAAAAAGTATTTGGGGTTGGCTAATACACGCCCAACTTTGACTTTTGTTATTGTCAGCTGCCAGAAGACAAAGAAGAATGGCTAAAACTCAGCCCGTTTTAGATTTTGAGCTAAAAACAGACTGGGCGTGATATCACATGGCTTGATTTTTAAGGTTTCACCAAAACGACTCCCAACTCTTTTTTTTTTCTCTCCCTCCAGATAACTTTTTAAAACACTGGATGCTGTTGGCAAAAATAAAAATAGCAACAACAACCAAAACCTTTTGTCCCGTTTGTTTTGAAATGGTCAAATTTCTAAATCAATTTTCCACCTTTTCAGTTTTTAAAGTGACAATTGTGATGTTTTAATGTCACTTTAGCTGTGGCCTTCTGTTCGTACTGCAGCCTCACTGCTGTTTGCTCACATCAGATGGATTAAAAAAAAAGACTTTATTTATTAAGTGTTAAGTTTTAACAAATACTAGAGGGCCACTATCAAGGTCAAGGTTCTTTATTGTCATTCGCATCGCATGTGGTACATAAGGTGGAACAAAATTTTGTACACAGGGTCCCAATTACAGTATATCCAACAAAAGTATAAATTGTAAAAGAAAAACAGTAATAAGATCTAAGATATGAACTATGCTAAACTAAGAATATGCTAAACACAGGCTGAAGGTTCTGGCTGGTAATTCTGGCTCAGCTTTGGACTGGCTCACTTCATACCTATCTCACAGAAATCTCTGCAACAAAACGGACAGTTTATCCTCTGACTACACCCCCTTAACTTGTGGGGTGCCACAAGGCTCAGTTCTGGGTCCACTTTTGTTTTCCTTTTATATTATCCCACTTGCCGGCATTATTCAGTCCTTTTCTGATATTTCCTATCACATTTATGCTGATGACATTCAATTGTATTTTTTGTTTAGACCACACCAGCTGGACAAGTTGGCCATCCTTGCCCAATGCTTGTCCCATATCAGTGACTTGCTCGCCAGTAACTTCTTGGTTTTAAACACCAGTAAGACGGAGACTTTGATTACTGCTCCCAGTCACCTTCATCCAAATATCAATCAGAAAATTGCTTATTTTTGGCCATTAGCCAAATCAGAAGTAAAAACATCTAGGAGTCACATTTGACTCATCAGTAGGCTTTGAGTTACACATTACAGCTATTCCTCGTTCTTGTGTTTTTCTCTCTGTTCTTCAGTGAAGACAGATATGTCTCCCTGTGCTTCGTACCCCCCCCCCCCCCCCCCTGCACTTCCCTGCTTGCACTCTTTCGTCCTGTGAATCCTTAAAAAGCCTCTTTGTTTTTTGCATACCTCCTAATTCGAAGGATCAGCTGGTCTCTCAACAAAATTGATCAACTTCTCCCAACTTCTCCCTCAACGGAAACAAATTGGATTCATGATGACAACTGTTTTTTTTTTTTTTGCTGTTTGGCTGGTGAGTTCTGGATTGTCTACAAATTTGTGTGGCTGTGTCGAAGCTCGGCAGCACTCAGACTGAATTATGTGCAGCTGTGTCAGAGAGCTGGAGCAGCTGTTATCAGGACTGTGAACTCTCTATTCTAGCAGCACACATGAAGGTGGGATTAATCTTGGAGAAGTTGTGAACTCGACTTTTGGCATAAAGGATCAATTCAGCTGTTTGGAGTTTCCATCAGAGGAATACATACCAGCGAGACTTTAAAAGGCAGAAACAGCAATTCACGAGTTCTGCCTGACCCAAACTGTGGCCTTGATGGCGGACTTATCTCAACTCCTCCTGGCATGTTTAGAAAAAAAACAGAGATGCTTTGTCTGTCTTTTCACCACTCCCTTCCCCAAGGTCGTGGACATGTGACAGAACCTCAACCGAGCTGATGATGAACAACACCTCTTATCTGGACAGTGGCGGGGGGGGGGGGGGGGGGTGGGGGGAGGGGGGTGGGGTGTGTGTGTTGCTCTGGACTATGCAACGACTTTCCCTTAAAAAGTCAATGTCCTCACCGGCCTATATGTACATGTATCTTGTCTGTTTATGTTGCTTTGCTGTGGTAGTTTTTATTTTTTTTTAAACCTCAGATCGTGCCCTGTCTAGGACACGGTGTGAGAGATCTTTTTTTTAATACCGTCTCTTCTCATACTTTCAAGCAAAATATTATTTTGAATAAGAATAAGAGGCTGCGCTTTCATAGTAGCAGCTTTTTGCACTCCGCCCATCTTTCGGACGACTGTACGTACATGTTCTCGTTGTATCTCGGTGCAATGATAATAAAGTTTATTCTGATTCTGATTGTTTCTTTCATATAAGAAACATTTCTAAAATACAACCTATGGTCTCTAGAGTTGACCTAGAGAAAATTATTCACACTTTTGTATCATTGCATTTGGACTATTGTAATGCCCTTTTTACCTGGACAAGTCTTCTCTTTCACATCTGCAAGCAATACAGAATGCAGCTGCCAGACTTCTCAACAAATCCAGCAAATACTGTCACATCACCCCGGCTCTACAATATCTTTACTACTGGCTCCTGGTGGAGTTTAGAATCTGTTTTAAAGTTCTTGTGCTGACGTACTGAGCTTAAAATTCCCAGGCTCCTGTGTATCTTTGTCAGCTTTTAACCAAATACTTTGCTGCTCGTGGCCTTCGTTCTCAGACACAGAATCTTGTCGATGTTCCTTGTATCCAGCTGAAAACTAAAGGGGACAGGGCCTTTCAGTCAGTGGCCCCAAGGCTGTGGAACAGTTTACCCCTACAGCTTATCATTTTGCTGACTCTGTAGAGGTTTTTAAAAAAGCAACACTTATTCTCCCACGCTTTTATGTCATTATTTTATTGTGCTTCTTGAAGTTCTTATGCTTGTTTTATTCTTTGTATATTTTAGCGTTGATATTATTGTACAGCGCTTTGTGATTTTTTTGTCGGTGATAAGCGCTCTAAATACATTTATTTACTTACTTACTTACACTTAGTGTAAAAACAGTAAAACGCAGAACAACAGCATGTTTAAGATGTTTCTCTGCTTTGACACACCTGATCTGAATGAATGAGTGATTTGTCAGGTTTCTGCAGAAGCTGAAGACCTGCTAAAGAGCAAGAAATCAGCTAAAACTGCAGGATAGTGGCCCTCTAGTACAAGGATTGGGCACCAATGGCCTACGCTAATTTGCAAACTACGGCCACAGATGGGCCTTGGAAACATAAAAAAAGTATACAATACAGTTTAAGAATAATAAAACGTTACATTTACACTAAGTCAATGCATAAAATAATAACGCCAGGAAAACGGTGGCAGGTATTCATGACTGAAATGCTTCCAGAGAAAACTGCATTCATTCCACACGTACAGAAAAATCAGCTTGTTCCAAGGATGGGTCAGTCACAAAGATACGACTAGCTCTGTATGACAGACATTGTTTAAAAAGTAGCTCTAATGTGTTCATTTTATTTTTATAGTCAGATAAATCAGTTTGGTAAATGGACT